TTACATAGCTCTTCCCTTGAGATATCTCCTAAGTTCAGAAATTAAATCACATTATGGAAAATGCATTGATCATTTGAAGAGATCTAGAATTAATTTTCTTTAATCATTTTTCCTTGGTCCACTGACCAGTACTTACAAGCTCATCTGAAAGTTCAAGTGCTTTTAAGTAGTTCTGGATCTGAAAGTTCAAGTGCTTTTAAGTAGTTCTGGTACAAGTTTGGATTGATATGTTAAAGTAATTTAAACAATTGTATTCTTGCTATTCTTATTTTCTCTCTTTTGCTTACACCACTTCTTTCAAAGCTTAGATTTAGCAGTTTTTGTGCTCACATATTAGTTCAGAGCCTGACAGACTAGTGGATAATACTCAGTTAAACTTAGTTGATCCATTTAACTGCTTCATACCAGAGTGATTATGAAACTGCGGGTAAAGGTGGTAGGGAGAAGGGTGAGTTTCCAGTTGCCATCTCTGCATTTCCTATAAAGCAAAAGGGCATTGGTAGATGTGTGCATTATGTGATGTGAAAGCTGAGAAAACAAAGGTCAAAATTCTTTTGTAGTCCCTTACTACTTAGGAATTTGATTTCACATTCATAATCTTTTCTTGTTATTCCAGCTCAAAAAGCTCATGTGACTCACTTTTTACAAACCTACGTCTGGTTTGTTGGAGTCAACTGGCAAAAGCCACTTAACTCTGTCAAAATTGAGAGAAGTCAGTAGTCATGACTTCTATTTTATTTATGTAAGTTTTCCCCCATTTATATTCAAAAGACAATTTTCCTGCACACTAAGTGATAGAGAGGTTATTTCTATTTCAAAAATAAAGAGCAGGGGCTGGGAAGGTGGCTCAGTGGTGGCACAGTGTTTGCCTTGCATGCATGAGACCCTACGTTCCATTCCTCAGCACCATATAAGCAGAAAAAGCCAGAAGTAGTGCTGTGGCTCAAGTAGTAGAGCGCTCGCCTTGAGCTGAAGAGCTGAGGGACAGTACCCAAGGCCCAGAGTTCAGGCCCCACGACTGACAAGAAAGGGAAGGGAGGGAGGGAAGGAGGGAGGGAGGGAGGGCAGTCACCCTGCAAGAAAGAAAGAAAGTAAGGGCAGTCACCAGGCACCAATGGCTCACACCTGTTATCCTAGCTACTCAGGAGACTGAGATGTAAGGATTGAGGTTTGAAGCCAGCCTAGGCAGAATAGTCCATGAAGTGCTTATCTCCAGTTAATACCAAAAAGCCAGATGTGGAGCTGTGGATCAAGTGGTAGAGTGCTAGATTTAAGGGGGAAAAAAAACTTAGGGACAATGCCCAGACCCCGAGTTCAAGCACCAGGACCACCACCCACACAATGAAGGAATGAACAAACAATGAATGAATGAATGAATGAATGAATGAATGAATGAAATAACTAGGCTTAGGCCTGCCTTTATCTTCCTTCCTCCTTCCCTCCCTCCCTCCTTCTCCCTTTCCCTCTCCCTCTTTTTCTCTCTCTCTCTCTCTCATTTTTTCTTTCTTTCTTTCCTACTTGAACTAGGCCTAGGCACTGTCCCTGAGCTTTTTTACTCAAAGCTAGTGCTCTATCACATGAGCCACAGCTCCACTTCCAGTTCTATTAGTATTGGAGATAAGAGTCTCATGGACTTTCATGCCTGAGCTGGCTTTGGATCTTGAACCTAAGATCTCAGCCTCCTAGAATTATAGGCATGAGCCACTGGAGCCTAGCAACATGGCTTTTTAAAAATGTTTAATCTGTATATTTATGTGTATTATTAATTATTTGATAATAGTGACAGTTCAGATTTCAGAAAGTAAACTTTGTGTCTAACTTATTTTTGCTTCACTTTATTAATAAAAATATTTTAAGCTATTTATTTTTTCCACATCTGGCTGCTATTATCTTGACTATAATTGCCTAGTTTCCTTTCTAGCTGATCTATTGCTAGTTTTTATCGAGATGTTATTAAAGAATATAAATGCTCCATAGGGATCAGTCTCAGCCAGAATATTTTCAGTTTCTCAGCTAAAATGAAACAGATCTGGTGGTTTGGCTATTAGTAAGTAGTCAGATTTGTTGTCAGAGTGCGTGAAGGGCTCTCAATTCATTATATTAGTTGTTCCTGCAAGGTAGCATTTGAAAAATGGCTTCAGCTGTTTATGGATTGTGGTCCTTGGGCACCAGATAGTGGATGCTGGAATGTATTGCAGAAAAGCTGATTATACTACTAGGATCTGTAACAGTAAGAGTAAAAAGTCATTTGTAATACCTGTGTCTGGCTCTGTTGGATATAGTTATATTTTTATTTCCTTCTGAAAGCTTTACCTTATTATCAGCTTATCTCGGAAGGAATAACATTTTGCAGAAATGTGACTTTGGGTGAAAATATCAATAAGCTATGCATGAGAGAAGTGTATAGAGAAAGACTGATTTGAACTTTGAGGATCCCAGATACTTTGCCCTGTTTATTACCTAGCTTATTGGAGTCATGGTTCACCATGACTGAAATTTCAATCATAGTCACTTCCTGTTCACAATGTTACTATATTTTTACTGAATAACATCAAAGAATGTATATTTACCACACGATATAATTGCTTTGTGGTCACAGTTCAGTTCTCTGACACTGTGTCTGTTCTTTCCCTCTACCTCTTCCTTTCTCCTTCCTTTCTTCCCCTCCATTTCTTGTTTCCTGTCCCCCTTCTTTCCTGTCCAAGAGCAGTTTGTATTTTATATAATCACAAATATTGCAGATGTTTAAATGTACTTTATCTCCCTACCCCCTTGTATATTTCAGTATTACTGCTTTCAGAAGAAAGTTCAGATTTCTCAACCTAGGGAATCATTCATGATTCTTTAATTTATTTTGTGCCTCATCCTTACTCATGACCCTGCAGGTGTTCTCTGATTCATAGTTGATATTTTAGAAGCTCCATTTCCCTTTGCATTTCTATCTGTGTGGTTGCTTTCTTCGCCCATACTCTATTCACCTAAAAATCACTTCTTTCTTTGACACTCTGCTCTGGTCTCTCCTCTTCCAGGAAGGCTTCCTCAATCACAACTAACCTGCCTCTTATTATTCCCACTTAGACTAGCCAGTAAACTCATAATAACATTTTGTAAGATTTTTATAACCATATAATCATAATCTATAATAGTATAACCATACTGTAATCATACACTTACTTATATAACTTTCAATAAAATAATACTCCTTAAGGTTAGAGATGATAAGGTCTTATCTTTGAATCTGGCATATAGGCTTTTCAAATGAATGAGTGACTTTTATAAATACATTCTGTAATTTTATTTGCTTAGGTCTTGACTTCTCAGGCAAATAATTGTAAGGAGGGCTTTGATATTTTTCTCACAAGGGACTTTTTGATTGACTCTTAACATCTGTGTCTCTACCTATTCATTTCCCATATTACTACCTAAAATGTTTGTTTAAGGAATATATGTGAGACTTGTTGGCTAGAGGATATAATAATATTGCTTTTATGTTGTTAAAGAACATGGAATACATTTTATGAAAAAATTGGAATGACTAATTCTGTGATCATGAAATTGTACATTCTAGCTTATCATTATATATTGTGAAACCTGTGGCTTTATTAGAATATAATATTTCCATTTAGAAAAGAATAGGCATTGAACTGCTTCCTCATCTGAAAGTAACATGGTTATACTCTGTAGATTTTAACCTAGTCTTAATCTAAGAGGCTAAAGAATATCTGCTAATAATGGATTATAGAACTTAAACACGTGATTTGTGATCTTGAGGTATCATTATTGTATTTGAATCATTCTTATAGCAAAGTAGAAACAAAGTATGAAGAAATTAGTATTTTCACATAAGATCTTAAAAAATACTTTAGTTATTTCATGTTAGACTCTTTTCACTTAAAATAGTATTATATACTTAATATTTTTATTCATGTAATGATTTGTTAAAACACTGTGTAATTATGATATAGCAAACTGAGTCAGTTTATTGTAGCTGAATCATAGTCCTGGCTGTTCTTTATTTAATGAATGAACAAACACTGTATTATTAAGATTCAATGTCCTTCAATTGCACTTGCTTGCAAAACAAACTTATTAGATCTTAAATACCCTAAGAAATACGTTCCTATGTATTTTTAGATATATTTTTATTTTTTGTCTGTGAAATATTTTGAAAAATCCCTTGTGAAATTATACAAGGGGGAAAATTACCCATGTCACAATAATTGAGTATCCACTCATTCTCAAAGACCTCAACCTGCTTTAAAAACTATTTTTGAGAATTATGATTTGTCAATTTCCTGTGGAAGATATATAAAGTATAAAGGCTTAATACGCGTTAGTTTATTACTACCATTTAAGAATACATTCCCTGTTTTGGTTTTGGAGCGCTGCCTCCAAGAGGTTCATAGCATTTGGTACGTAGTTCACGTATTTGTAGTCTACAGACCTTCCCTCGCGAGGCAGAGGCTTCATGGTTCTTATATTTGCATTTTCTACTGGTAGAAAGCTCAACGATGGTAATTAATTAAAAAAAAAAGAACTTTCATGTCGTTACAAATAAAACTGAGGGCTTTCTTTTCAAGACTAGTAATTTATACCTTTAAAGAGCCACATTATTTTGCTTTTGTCTCAGAATGTATTATGCTTCACAAGTTTACTGTGACAGCCTGAATAGAAAAGGGGGGAGGGGACATTGTCTTCAGCTGGCATGCTGTTATCAGAGGGAATGTGTTTCTGGACATGAGATTTAGCATTCATTGGTTGTCTGAAGAAAGCTATTTCATCTGAGGATTGGACAAGAAGCTGCGTCAATTTGCTGCCCGTCTCCAAGGCACTGGTGATGCTGCCTTCACAAGCTGGCTAACGTCACGGCTCCATCACCCAGCGGGGTGTGGACTCTCTTTTTCTCTTCTTCCCTATTTAATTCTCTATTTGCTGCCTACTGCATTTCTTAATCTGTCTTCTGCCAAATGCTAACAGCATGATATTTTGCAATCATCTAGGTGAATACAAGAAAGACGAACTCCTAGAAGCTGCTAGGTAAGTGATTCCATTCATTTTTAAGTGAGTATAATGCATTTAAGAGAGAAAACGGGGAGGGCAGGTGGAGGACTATGAAAATTATAACGTGTTATTGTCTTGCTGGGATTTTAGGCAATAATATGGATAGACACTTATACTAAATATTTGTATACTTTACATGGTTAGTAAATATGACAGTATCTTTCACTAGATAATGATTACAAGGTTAATTTTATTTGGAACATTTCTTAATGTACCTACAAATCTTAGTTGGCAAGCCTCATTCTGGTCTGAAGATTTTCCAGCAAAGCTTAATGAAGGGTATAAAGTAAATGTTAAAAATCCTCACCTGATTATTGTTGTTGTTCCTTGCTATGTATAATTTAAATAACAGATTGTATGTATCTTTTAACTGCAGTGTCTTAAATCATTAGTCAGAATAAAGTTTGTTATAATTCTTTAAAAATATAGAAAGCTACATTATCCAAGATATATCACTACATAATGAATAGCAGGAATTAATTGAATATTGTTAGAGATTCATTTTGATTCACATAATAAATTAAAGCAAAGCCCTATTTTCCACCCTTTTGTGAACATATATCTATAAATATACATAAGAAGCTCGGTATTTTATAGAAATTTACTTACTACCTTTTTGTAGGAGCGGTAATGAAGAAAAACTAATGGCTTTACTGACTCCTCTAAATGTGAATTGCCATGCAAGTGATGGGCGAAAGGTAAGTTCTTTCAAATGTAATCTCCTCCAATCATTTCTTGCTTTATATTGAAAATGTTGAAGTGGGCATGCATATGTATACACCTATCTCTGTGCATATAGACACACATATATAGTTGTACTTTTACTCTAGTATCTTTTTCCTATACAATGAAATCCAGCTCTGTTATTGGCAGTTGTGACATGTTCATAGAGCATCGGTGAAGCATGGATATTAAGTAAGATTTTCTCTTAAATATCAGATACTGAAAGTTGCAGCTTTGCCAGTGACTAAAATTAGCACATATTTCTGTATATAATAATGGAGATTGAAAAGATGTATGCCCTATTTACTCATTTTTGTTAGAACATTTGCATTTTTTATTTCTTATTTAGCATAATTTGTTTGCTAGATATTAGTACTTGTTTCATTAAAGCTGAGAAAATAGTAATGATTTTTAGGTATATGTAACAGCTCTGCTTGTTAATTTTTATTTACTAAGTTCTAACTGTGACATTGAAAGAAAATAGATTAAGAGAGAAATGTTGTACAATGTGTACAGTTGGCATACATATGAGGGAATGTATAAAATGTATAAAATGTGCTTCGTATTCTTCTTGAATATACATCCAAGTGGGAACCTTTACATCCTTAGTAATCGACTGCAAAGTTTTTCAGTGATTTACCTAATAGACTGAAAAACAGAGCATTCCCTGCTTCTGTAAACCAGGGGAGATTTACCCAGTACTATTTCTGACTTTAGGGAAGTGTTTTAACTGCTTATTTTCCTTTCATTTTGAAGTTGCTTTGGGGATTTAAAAACTCATATGGGTCTTGAAGATCCATATTTTATTTGAATCCTAGGAGTAGATGAAGTAACTTCTATGATTGTATAAAAAAGGCCTTCTCACCTGCGGTTAGTGTAGCGGTAGTGTTTAGACACATCTTTCAATGCCTAGCATACTTCAGTTTTCCATAGCCATTTAAATACTATTGAATTTGTGTGAAATTGCTATCACAGGAGTCAGTTTCTATCACAGCTTATTTTCATTCTTACTCTTATACCCCGATAGCTTCTTTTCTAGTGTAGAAAGAAAATCATGATAAAGTAGTAGAATCACTGATTCTTAATAAGTCATCTCTTTTCTTTGCTTTCTTCCCTATACAAGTGTATAGAACACTGTTATTTTTCCTTCTCCTCAAAGGAGAAGCCAATGTATTTCTTACTTAAATTCTGCAGCTGCTTTCTGTGACATTTGGCAAAGGATTCTACCCATTGCAGTTGTTCATACATTTTTTTTTTCTGTTCTGTTGTTTAGTATTTTGAACAGGACCAAGCATGGCACTTTGCATGTAGCAGCAGCTTAAGCTACAACTCTGTTGTCCTATGATAAACATAATTTTATTCTCTGAGTGAGAAAATTATCTTCATTCTTTGTTATTTAGAAAGTTATATAGAAATGTGGAAATAGGAGGTTTTATATTTTCTGTTACTATTACTTTGTGTTATTTTATTGTTTATTAATTGAATAACTAACATGAGGGAGAACTGGGTATTTTAATGTATAGAGCATTTTAATGAACACACTGGAAGGTTACTGATGTATAAATAAAATGATGCTCTTCCAGAATATACTTTTATACTTTAGATTTTCAGTTTTTAAATTGGATAGATAAAGAAAATTAGACTCAACATTTATTAGATTTTAGTGCTATGCATGTATCATATGGAGTCATTTATAGTTGTTATCTGTATACATATGAAACAAGTAAAATGTCATAGGTTAAGTGGAATTGTATTCCTATTTAGAGTTTATCCTCATTTCTGGCACAGATAATTATTGTTCCGTCTACTACTTGCAGCAAAACCAAACATAAATGTTTTCAGAAATAGTGGAGATTGAGTTTAAGAGCCATTCATTATGACACAATCTTCTTGATGATAATGTCAGGAAAAAAATGTAAGCACATCTAGCTGTTGAATAACAAGTATCTATCTCAGATATTTTCAAATGCTTAGCTAAAATGAGGAATTCTGCCATCATATTAATGAGAGAATCAAGGTACTATTTTATGTGCAGTCAAGCGAATATAGAACATGTTATAAGACCTCATCCTTTTTTAGAAGTGTTCCAAAGGACTGTTTCACCATTTAGATGAATTCTGTTCTCTTGGTTTTTACTACAAGCCTTGGTTTGTAAATTTAAAGAGTCTATGGAAATGTTAATTCAGTAGTGGTTTGGGATAAAAAAAATATTCATCTTAGAGTGCTTTGTAGGTGGAGAATTTACTTTGAGATGTGTAGGGGTTTGAGAATTTAGTGTTCCTTTTTAATGTAATGTGTGGGATTGTACAATGAGAGGGTAAATAGATTTGTAGCTCTATGCTGTGAATTGGTGACTAATTTATATATATATATATAGAGAGAGAGAGAGAGAGAGAGACGGTTAATATTTTGATTTCCCACAGACATTTGCTTTTGCAGCCTATAGAATTCTGAAAATAGTGGCATATCTATGTGCTTTCACTTTTGTCAAAAGATAAAATGTTTATTGTCAGGCACCACAGTGCATGCCTATAATCTCAACACTTGGGAGGCTGAGATAGGAGGATCTAGAATTTGAGGCTACATAACAAAACCCTGTCACAAAAATAAAGTTTAAATTGGGTTTTGTGATTCAAGAATTATAAAACACCTCTACAAAATAGAATATTCTACAAAATAGAATACTCTGCTTAGCTGAGGTAAGTAAAGAAAACAAAAAGTAGATTGGTCATGTTGAAGTTACTCATTCTGGAAAGGTTGAAGAAAAGAAAACTTATTTTTCGTGCTAGCTGAAAGTGATCTGTTTGGGGATTTGGCCATCATTCTCTCTTTTTACCCTGATTTCCCAGAAAGTCAGATAAAGAACTCAGTTCAGGCTTGTTGGCATGGAACTCTAACATGAATAACTCCATTTTGGTCTGGTTTCTCATACATAGTAAAGGACCCCAGTTGAAACTAATACCACCTATAAATTTGATTTACCATTTTGCATGTAAATCAAAATTTCAGTTTGACTACTCTAGGTAGTTCATTAAAAAAGAACAAAAGCAAAACATTTTGAGAAATATTTTGTTCTAAAATGCCATCTTCATACAATTATATTCATGTTTTTAATGACAGCTACTTTAGAAATACAGCAGATGAATATAATTTTTTCTCTTTTCCATCTCCTGTCCATTATAGTCAGATTTTACATTCCACGACTCCTACTTGTAGTGAAGACTACCAGAACTTTAAAACAGCCTATTTTCCTTCTAGACCATTTTATTTTTTATTTTTTTAAAGGTTGGAAAAATTACTTTATGAAGCCTTAAGAAGCATTGAGTATAATTAAATTGTAATCCAAGTTTAGATACAATTTAATAGTTTATTTCCAAAATAAAAGTTGTTATAGGAGAAATCATGAAATTTCCTAACACTTGATTTTTAAGACATTGCGCTAATTATCTAAATTCAGAGGAACCAGTATTTACAAGAGATAGAAGTATTTATGAAAAAGCATTTTATTTCTATATTCTCTTAGTTTTTATCAGTGTTAGATGTTTGATTAGAAATTACCAGTGTTGAATCCTTGTTTTGATTTCTAAATTTTATGTAGTAGTGTTTTCTTGTTTTTAGTATTTTGTAAGTATACTTTTACTATAATGAAAATATTTGATCATATCTCAAATTTATTTTAACATTCATCCATTTTGAGAGTTTTATTTTGTCCTTCTATGTGTTATTCCTTTTTCTTTGCATTCTTTAGTTCCTTCCCAAACCAAACGAATGACTTAAATTCATTTCTCTTTTATAATGATTAGATAAGAAGTAAGATAACTGTATATGGAGTTCCTCAATAAGAAGAATATATAACTTTATATACATCTACTGTGCCTTCTACTGCTTTGATTATATCTTACCAAATATTGATAATAGTTAATACTGGATTGGTTCCACTTTATAAGATATTCCATGTAATTCTGATATTTCAAGTTTGTTTTTGCTCATTTTCATTTGTTTTTATTCAACAAAACTCTAATACCAATGGGAAGATAAATAAATGTATAGCTAATGATACTTGCTTACAAAGAGCTCATAAGTTGATTGAATGATTAAGACATTTCCAGGCATCGAAGCTAATGTCCCCAAAAAGATATATTCCTCCTGTTGTTTGTAAAGTGAAGGTGAGGAGATTTTAGATCATTTTTTAAGCATTAGATTATATGCTTTTCTGAAAGAGACCACAAATTTAGACAAACAGGCAATTGGAAGCACATGATTTAATTCAGAAAAATTAACTGAAAGCTTGCTTTAAAATGTCAGATTTCTACTGTGCAAATGTTTGCTTCCATAAAATAATAATGAATAAGACTGGAAGCAGAGAAAACTGGTATTTAAAAAGTACTTTCACATGGATATCAGTGAGAAAAAAAGTAGAATTTTGTGTCATACCTTGAAGACATCATGAACAAACTATGTTCTACTTGAAAGAGCAAATATATTACAAGGTCAGAAAGATTGGTTTTTATTCTTGGCTCTTCCACTTTCAAAGTGGGTAACAGTGGCTATAGAATTCTTAGTTTACTCATTTTTAAATGAGGATAGCACACCCATTGCACAAAACATTTGATAGGGTGAGTTGACATGACTAACACACAGTAGAACCTCAGTAAATTAGACTTCACTGCTTTGATCATTTGTTTGAAACTTTTGAACATGTTTAGACTAGTCAGATACATATATCAACATTCTTTGCATCTTAAATTGTCCTTCTTATCAACATTTGTAACTTTTGAATAAAATAAGCTACAAGGGTGTGACTGTTTTATACATCTCAAGTTTGTGTTTAACAAATATTAAACTATTTCATAAAGAAAAAAACAAATTTGCAAGAAAGTGTTAACAATTTAATAATTTATGGTTATTGCATAAAATACATGAAGTTTATGGTTACACATAATGCAGTAGAAAAGAAATACAATTTCAAATTTCA